AGATCCTTACGAATTTGCCGCGATTTGTTACGGTTCGCCCCGTGCATTATAACCAGGGAGTAAAGTACGAAGCTGCTGGCATATAAAGATGGCATTGAAATCGTTGGTAACCAAACCAGGGACGCGAGCACAGCATTTCCCAGCTTAGGGACGAAAACAAAAGAAATTACAATAGCTGTGAACGAAAACAAGACGAAAGTACCTTCTAGTGTATTGGGACGCGAGTCACTATTGACAGCTCTGGAATTCTGACATTTGCTACTTCAAATTTTGGTCGCAAAAATTCTATAAATGAAAATAAATATAAAGTATAAAACATGGAAAAGTAACAGATGCAATGTGTAATCAGCCAAGTGGAGCTTCACTCGATAAGCAAAAATAACGCTCCACCAATCTGTCATCATGGTCGTACTTTTATATGGCAAGGAAACGTACGATGTCGGCCAAAGTTGAGAAGGCTTTGGGACTATGGCCCTGCACGATGGAATGCTGAACTATACATGTTAGCTTTATAATGATATGTACATATAAAAATTCAACGACTGCGCTGGCTTGGACATGAAAACATACATACATACATATGTAGGTTAATTGGGTACTCATGAGTGGACAACGAGCGCCATGAAAGGTCAAATTGCTGAAGGTCCTGTATAAATACACTTCATATGAGCAACAGACTAAACTTCATAAAAGGGAGAGGCAATCACCGAAGATTAAAAAAAGAATTAAAATTAGTTCAAGCAATTCTTTTTAGTATCGGTATTTATTATATATAAACACATTAAAATCTTTTATTCTCCTAATAAATATATTTCAATCTCTTCCAAACTTGCATCTTTAGTTTTGGGATTTCTTACAGGGCACAGCATACAGCAAACAATGCTTGTTTATATTTACATATGTATTAGTATGTACATACATACATGCATACGTATTGCACATGTTATTCAAAAATGTATGAACTCGAAATTTGTCGTTTCTGAAAAAAAACCTAAAATGTTTTTGACTTCATGTCAATCGTAGTTTTTACCATGCTTTTGCAATAAATTACAAAACAAGTAATTTTTAAGCAAAAAACAAAACCGACTTCCATTCTCATATAAAAAAATATATTTATATATACATTAGACTGCATCACTCCCCATACACAAAAAAATCGGTACTATTTTCCCATTGGAATTATAAAATCTATTATATTTTAAGACGTCCACCAAAATATTTCGAAAAAATATTTAGATTTAAGTGAGCTGGACCAATTTCAAAATACCTACAAAAATGGAGTTTTTTATGAATAAAAATAGTTTCTTAAATTTATTTTTTTTTTAAATCCCCTTAAATGACAAAACGTTTTAAGCTTAAAAAATTTGCATAAAAATAATTGCTAATAAACTCATTCAAAGGATGAAAGAGAGAGGTAGGATGAACGAACGTCATTCAAAGTTGAATTAAGATGTGTTGGTATTTGAAAAAAAAAAATTGGGACATGAATGATTTTTTGTTTGGACAGAAATAAAAACAGTATGAAAATACCTTTGTACTGAGATCCCATAAGTCTAAATCAGAATAGTTTTGGCCCAGTTATTTAAGTTTTTCGTAAATCAATCTTTGAAAAAAGTAAGAAAACAGCATCAAAAATCTCATTCTTACGATTCCGTTGAAAAGATTTTTAAATATTTTCATGCAGATTTTTTAAGCTTAATCTGTTTTGCCATCTGAGGGGACTTTTTTCAAAAAGTTCTTTAAGAAACTATTTTGATTCATAAAAAACTCCATTTTTGGAGTTATTTTGAAATCGGTCCAGCTCACTTAATTCTTAATATTTTTCCGAAATATTTTGGTGGACGTCTTAAGATATAATAAATTTTGTAATCCCGGCGGAAAAACCGCAACTAATTTTGGTGATGCAGTCTAATATACATATATATTTCATGATCCAGTTATCGGATCTAAACCAGATAGTATGGGACCACTTCTGAGACATCACCTTTCCGATGCAAAAATCGGAATCGGATGACGTGGTCCAAAGTTATGCGGTAACATACATACATTAAAACAAAAAAAAATATTCCGACGAACTGATAACCTCCTCCTTGCTTGGAAGTCGGTTAAAAATACTACATACTTCAGCTTTTGCAATAAGGTAAATAGATATGGCTCATTCCACGGTGACGGGTGTGATTTTTCAACTCACATTTTAAGGTTTGATTCTTAAACTATAATAGAATATTCTTTAAAACGATTACTTTATGTTGTGTTTGCGAGCGAGTGGAACTTGAATTTGTGACGGGTGGGACAAGTTTAGCTTGAATAAACAAATACACATTATTAGACTATTAGGCTAACTTTATTTCTCAAAAAATCGGATTTTGTAAGAAACACACAAAAGATTCTGCTATCTAAAGACGGAATAATCCTTGCTCGTACTCTTCATCTCCACTATCTGAGTAGACGCTGTTTTAAAGTACGGCTGACTTCCAAAACGTATCAATATAATGCTTGGATACTAGTATCAGCTGTTATACTGCGGTATTCAAACTGGTTGTATATGCAGAGTTGCGATATATTGCAACCATATACATTGCATATTTTAAATATTCAATATAGCGATGAACAATTTCTCCAAATTTTCCATTTCTAAAACACCAATGGTAGCCAATAACAAACGAAGAATCAACTTTGTTTCTGATGCGCTGATTGCTCTAGCGATGCGTTTCGATAACTTTTCATATGTGTTTTGGAAAAGTATACATCGTCAACATTTTGTAGTTCGGCGTTATGGAACATTATACTTTGTACGTATGCAAAGCAATTGACGTTTTGGAAGTCAGCCTACCTTATTTGTAAGTAGTACTACTGGACCTTATGAGCTCATCTCCGATTCGAATTTCAGTACAAATTGCTGAGCTTGAGCTCACTTTATCAGTGCAAAAATTGAGTCTGAACTTAACCCCTTCATACCGTGGGTACACATATGCGCACCTTAAATTATTTCAATTTGTAACAAGAAGCGACAATTTGTGGACACTTCTGGTACTTGTGCTACTCCCTGTGCGCTCTTGAGCTTTCAAAAGCATTAAAAAATATAACAAATTATAAAAACAAAATGTATAGAAATAAAAAACATAAAAAAAGTTTGAAAAGGTAAACATTTCATAAAAAATATTCTACTTTAGTTGGTTCATGTTCAGGTATTAACGTCTTAAGTTCTTCTTCGTATTTAGCGCTGTAACCGCTTAAGCGATTTTGGCCGAGTTCAATAAAGCACAGAAGTCGTTTCACTTCTGTGCCAACTGACGTCAATTGGAAACGCCAAGTGAAGCCAAGCCCTTCTCCACCTGGTCTTTCCTTCGCAGTGGGAACCTCCCACTTCTGCTACCATCAGCGGGTTCCGAGTTGAATACTTTCAGAGCAGTAGCGTCGTAGAGTCCATTCGAACGATATGGCTAAACCAGAGGAGCCGCTGTATTTTAATTCGCTGCACTACGTCTATGTCGTTGTAAAGCGCATACAACTCATCATTCCATCGTCTGTGGACGATGTCAAGAGGACTTTACTCCTGAATTCCCAAGTAAACGAAATTCTCTACTTCCTCTTTATAACTGTCAACAGTGACGTGTGTGCCAAGGCGCAAAGGCGCGAATGCGCTAACTGTTCGCTCGATGACACTTCGTCTTGTCTTCGTTTACCACTTGCTTAAAGTCGAAAAAAATAGATGGTGAGTATCGATCCTTTTCTCGTGGGTCATTTCCCATATTTGGCGCATTGTGAATACCTAGTCTATGGTAGATTTGCCAGGTCTAAAGCCACACAGATAAGGTCCAATCAGTTCATCTTTCACACAATACGCTCGATACGACCTTGTAGCTTATGCATAGAAGGCTGATCCCGCGGTAGTTCGCGCGAATGGCGAGTGCGCCTTTCTTGTGTATTGGGCAGAGCACACTTAAATTCCAGTCATCAGGCATGCGTTCATCTGACCATTTTCTGCATAAGAGTTGATGCATGCTCCCCGCCACCGTACCTGAATAGCTCAGCTGGCAGGCTGTCAGCTCCACCAGCTTTGTTGTTTTTCAACCGCGTTATTGCTATTCGTACCTCGTCAACGCCAGGCGGTGGAACATCGACTCTGTCGTCATCGACTGGGGGCTCGAGTTCATCTTCTCAGTGTTCCCTCAATAGTTTAAGTACCTTCTGGACATCGGTAACTGGGTCGCCATTCTTGTTCTTACAGGAGTTTGCCCTGGTCTTGAAACCTTGCGTAAGTCTTGCACATTATTAAACTCAAAATTGAATGGGCCATAAAACTGTATACACAAACAAAAACCGAATATTTCTGAAAAAAAAGTTTGAAATTTTAATGAAAATCTGTTAAATATATTTTTTTTTTATTTCTACAAAGTTTTAAACATGGGTTTATATTGTTTTTGTTTGAGAAATATTAAAACTAAATAAATAAACATAAGTGGCAAACAAAATCAGTTTGAAATTGGGGTGCTAATGATATTACCGATACTGTATGTGGTAGGTGGGACATTTCTCGTACGTCATATCAAAAACGACAATATTTGAATTAATACGTTTTTGTACAACTTATGCGGTATGGTATGTTCACGTGTGTTGCAACAATCTGAACAAAAGCAGTCGCTGCTGCAAATACGGCGCTTCAACGGCGTTGGCGATGGCGCTCACAAATACAATCGCAACTCGCTGCCTTTCACTCTATAAAATCGTATGCGCCACAAGTGGCGGTGCCATTCTGCATTTGCCTTTCGAACCTTTCTTTTCGGTAGTGGCGACGAAGTTAGACGCGCGCGCGCACATCGCAGTTTAAATAAAAAGCGCTCCAGCTAGAGGAGCCAAGTGCAAAAAAGCTACTTACATACTTATTTACCCACTCGTGCAAAACATATTTTTATTCAGTGCGTTTTGAGTTTTATACAGTGTGCCTACGGAAATTGTTCAGCTAAGTTGAGGGCAGACAGTGCAAAGTACGGCGAAGCATATGCATTGCAAATAAAATTACTTAGTGCACTCCAGCAAATATATATATCTACATACATTCATAATTTTACGGTTCATTGCAGCTGTAGTGCTATTGTGTTGGAGGTACGAATGTCAATAACGGCAATAAACAAAAACAACAACAAAAGCAACAACAACCACAACCACAAAGGAAGTTCATACATATGTAATTATTTGGCGCAAGAAATTTACTTTTGTGCAAGAATTAGAGAATTAATTGATAAAAACCGCGCATACCTACTATGCATGTACATATAAAAATAAAAGCATACAGTCACGTACAGAAGTATTCAAAATTTAATGTCTTCACAACATTCAAAATGTTTTCCATCATAAATCTCTTTCGTTAATTTTTATTTAAAATATATGTAGCTCGTTCCATAACAAATACCATATACGTGCACCAATTTTGCAAACTTTGTTAAAATTCTAAATTTCACACTTTTTTAACAGAATTTTTAGAAAATATATTTCGTTCATGCGTTATATAGACACCCTCGAAAAAAAAATTCTAAAAAATCAACGGTAAAACTTTTGCTACTTGAGACTTGCACTGCATACCGGAAATGTTTTTTTTTTTTTTAATTCTGATTAAAATGTTTGAAATTTGGATGGACATTTTTGAAGTTTGATTAATTTTTGTGAACTTAGTACAAAGTTGGCAATATTGTTTTATACGATTTTTGTTATAGAATGACTTATATTTTAAATAAAAATTAACGAAATAGATTTATGATGGAAAACATTTTCAATATTGTAAAAAGAACTAAATTACGAAAACTTCTGTGAGTGATGGTAAGTACTAAAATACAAACATTTGCACATATCATTCATAAAAAACGGCAATTGTGCGAAAACAAAACGGTGTTGAAATTATAAATTAAATGCACAATTACAAGTATAATTTATGTGCTTAATATTTATGTGTGTATGAATGTACATAAATACATACTACAAAACAAATGCAGAAAAGCATGAAAGATCAAATCGCTAAAAGGGAGTTTCAATTGAAGTGCCAAGTATGGGGTGTGTCTGTAATTGGAGCAATTGTCTAAGCAGGCTGTCTGTAGAAGTGGCATAAAAAGCTGGTTAAGGCTGCCAAACAATGCAGAATTATTCAGTTGATCATTTAACAAAAGCTGCTCCTCCATTGAATACCGCGCTTCAGGCGTAAATTTTTAGCGCTTCATATGTTTATGTACGCGTATAAATACATAAGGAGATGTGAAAGCTCATACTTACAAACACATACATAAGTTCTGAATTTTTATAATTGGGCTAGGCGTGGTTCAAAATTTACGGTTAACCGCTACTGAATCAAAGTTTTGTTTTCAAGGAATAAAAAATGTGAGTAAATATTTTCAAAATAGGAAATCTTTGACATTGTAGCCAGCCCGCTGAAGTGAGAAATTATCTTCTTCTCCATCTAAAATCTCTTTAGAATGGGTAACCCAGGCAGCATTTATTATTGCCTTTTACCATTCGATAACAAATGCATTGATTATATCAAAAATAAGTTCATTTGCATTTTTTAACGAAACCTGCACTTTAAATTCGTTTAAGTCTTAATTTTTTTCACGCAGACAAATTTTAATATATCGCTAGCTTAGAGTGAAAAGCTGCGTTACGTTTATGATCTTTATAATACAAATCATAATTTAACCGTTAAAATTGGACCTCTACTTTTCCGACCAAATTTATCGTTTTTTTTTACTTTTAATTTTTTCATTTTATATTTTACGATCTCTATTTTTTCAACCAAAAATAGTAATTTTTCGATCATGTTATAATCGTTATGTTTAGATTTATTAAATTTAATTTTTCAGAACATAAAAAATTTAAAACTAAAACAAAATAACGATAATTTTTGATCGAAAGAAATCACAAAATAATGATTATTCTCAATCAAAAAAATATAAATTAAAAAATTGCGGTTTTGCAAAAAACTCTTGGTGTTTAGGGTTAAACATTACATTACATTACATTAAACGTACAGTTTTCGTCGAATCGACGAGTCGACAACGAGTATTGTGCAAAAATAAGAATGCACTCCCAGGGTTAACAGTTATTTTCGGTCCCTGTTGGCTTAATGAAGTTTCTCCAATTTTACGTACGTCTTTCCACATTCGCAGCCCGACAGTTTTTGATTCAGTATTGTTAGTTTTAGAAATTAGTTAGTCAAGTTATTTATGTTCACTAGGGTGCATCACTCTCCATACAAAAAAAAAAAAGTAACTGTTTTTCCCTCCACCAATGTTAGTGGAATTCATGAAACATCGCAAAGTTGTTGGAAATGTCACATTTATTTCAAAATTTGCCACCTTGCGACACAGCTGATTACTTTTGAATGAAAACTTTCTTCCGGCACTGTCATATTATTTTAGCTGCCAATCATTGCAAAGTCAAAGTCCCGAAATAGACGTTTTTTTATTGTCCTCGAATACTGCAAGAAAAATTATATCAGTTAAGGCTGCTTCTAAAAATATAATTGTAAAACTTTTCTTTTTTACTTTTGCGCGGCAAATTTGATATTCGCAATCCGCAGTTGCGATAGGCCATCACTACAATTTTGTTCGCAACGTTGCTATTTCGCCAAAAATACCACTTTGCGGTGTTTCATGAGTCGCTGGACCTAGCTTGTATGCTCTCCAAATATTCCCACTTAACAGTGCCCATTTGTAGTTCTTGTTCAATGAAAACAGACCTTAGCCGTAGTTCGTTTGAAGATAGTTTTCTAGACGGCAGAATTGATTGACAAAAGATTAGTGCCTTTCCTTCCCATTCGCAATGCTGTTTCCCGGAATATTTCTGTGCTCGGGAACACCGGCTACATTCTTTGTACATCGTATCGCCAAATCGAAATTGCTTCGGCTTTGAATCATTCTGAGTTGAATTTCTGCCATTATACTATAGAGATAACGGGGATGTCGAAAAGTTATTATTAAAGCAGAAGCCAGGAGTAGTATATATAATCTAGCTAGATATAGGATATAGAATTTAGTCTCAAAATTTAGATTCCCTCAGGGTAGGTAAGATTTTTTTCCAGTATCCTTTCAGCAAGACTGAAATTATTCGCCATTTATAGCTGATGCGGGTTCTTTAAATATGTAATAGAATAAGCAAGTGAGGTTAGGTGACGTAAAATGAGAGCAGCTTCGAAACTAAACAATTTTGAAAAGTGATTTTGCTTTATAAAAGTGGGATAATAACGAACATAGAATCCTGAAAAAAATTAATAGCAGATGTAATGTCATCTACCACACGCCTTAACCGACTATAATCGGGGCCAAAATGTACATAAAAGTGATATCTTCGACTATAGTATTTAGTATCGATTTGGGGTATTAGATGAAAAAAATGATTCCGTACGAACCGTAAATCAAGAAAATTTTCCTATCATTTTCTATACAAAAATTTAAAATTTTCGATTTGTGCGAAATCCAGAATACGCCTTAATTTTGCGACACGCCTTAACCGTCTTCCTGCATTTACGGACCACTCTAAGGCACAGCGAAAGCATTTTTAGCATCATAAAAATTTTTACAATTCAATTTTTTTTTCTGCTTTTTGTTTTGCTGAGGTTAAAAAGGCATTGCTCAACATGGTGACATGATGGACCGCAATAAATTTAATTAACCTTACTCTTACAAATGCTCCATATTCTCTAATTACCCTTTGAAGTTTATTATATTTGTCGAATTATTACTTTATGGAATACATACAATATACATATATGTATGTATGTACATACATACATACATAAGTCGCAGCTTCCAGTTATAGGCGGACCACGAAGAGGCATAAAGGGTTCCATATACATATCAACGGTGTCTACTTCTTTTTATCACTTCACTTTCTTTTATCAACACAAATGGTGTAAAATCAATGAACCACGAAAAATGCATACGTATGAATATACATATGTATGTACTTACAGTGACGAGCAAAACTGTAACATGGTTTAACACTTTTCGTTTCAGCCACCGCTATATTTCCAAGTTCTAACGACTTTCATACTTTTGCTGTATATTCTTGTTGGTACATCCCTACTCCCTCTCTCATAACGATTTGAAGTCAATACAACAACAATAAAAAAACCAGCAGAAAAAAATGTAAATTAAGGCAGATGTTACAGTTTTGCACTCATACATTTTTAAGAACTTTTTAACAATTTTCACGAAAAAAAGAACTACTAACACAATGTTCAGTACTCTTTTGCTTGTTTCAGGTCCTGGATACGATTTGGCATACCTTATTTGTATCTCTGTAAAAATTCTGGAAGTATATCCTTAGTTTGCTTTCACAGCTCATATACTCGATTTTACGGACTTGGATACTTAGTAAGCTGTGCTTTTAGTTGTTTTCGCAAATTCTCAATGAGATTTATGTCCGCGGATTGTGGAGGTCATTTGAAATCAGCAAATTTTTGCTTTTGTATCCAGTCTTTGCGAATATGTGCAGTGTGTTTTGGGTGATTTTTCAGCAGAAACTCTAATTTTTTCGACTACATCTTGCAAATTTTGTTGAAATATGAACAGATACTGTTCCTCACGCATAATCTGTACTAACAGACCAAGAAAATGTTTGAAATACAACCCCAAACTATTATTGACCGACCACTTTTATTCACAGTTTGCCTTACATGCTGTGCGTGGGCTTAATTTGGGTCTTTGACCCAATAGAATGCCCGGCCATCTGATTGAAAGCGATTAATTTAGTCGTTTTAGTTATTGTCGGACCAAATAACCTTCAATTGAAACTTAAAAATATGTTTTTTATTGCATTGTGAACGGCCTAACATATCCCAATAGGCAACGGTTCGGATTTCGTGCGATGCAGCAAAATGCTGCCGCACTCGCACATGTATTTTGATCAAATTTGTTTTTTTCTTCTTTTATGATCCTTTGCGCTCAAATTGGCAATTCTTCGCCTCGCTGTCTATTGATTTGCATTAAAGTTTAATACCTTAAGCGCTTCTGTAATAGTGGCTGCATCGCTACTTGCTTCTAAGTTCACAAGATATCGTACCGTAATATTTTTTAACAGACTTGCTTTGTCCTTAAGAACACTTTAGGCTATAGTTTTTCTAAGTCTTAACATTTTTAAGTAGCAAATTCCAAAATTGTTTGCCACTTTTCGTGCGGTTCCGCCTTTCCGCAGTAAATATATCATTTACATTTATGGTTCCTGATTAACTATGTTATTTACTGGTGATCACTTCTTCAATAAAATACAATATAGAAAAAAGTCATCTGACTTCCAACTAAGTAAAAGATAACTGCCAAATGCAAAACTGAGAGTGAGTGCAAAACTGTAACATCTGCCTTAATTTACATTTTTGTCTGCTGAATTTTTTATTGTTGTTGTATTGACTTCAAATCATTATGAGAGAGGGAGTAGGGATGTACCAACAAGAATATTCAACAAAAGGATGAAAGTCGTTAGAACTTGGAAATATAGCGGTGGTTGAAACAAAAAGTGTTAAACCATGTTACAGTTTTGCCCGTCACTGTAGGTGCATATGTATATACATACATACGTACGTGCGAGCATAGTATATGCATGTAGGCTTAAAACACAAAACAAGTATCCAACTCCCATTGACTATACTTCTCTAATTTGGTTGCTTGTTATGCTCAGTCTCCTTAAATGGTAATTTATCAATGCATATATATATATGTACATATGTATATGTCTTTTTTCCGCTTTAAAACTAATCGCCCAACAAAACGAGAAAATCACAAAGACTTTTAATTTATAGCTAGACATTTAAATTCATTTGAAATATAATTTTTTCCGTAAAAAGAACATTAAAATACGATTATGAAAAAGGGCTAGAAGAAATTTCACTAGACGACCATGTCGTCTAGGTCATGAATAACTCAGTGAGAGGGGAGACCAGTATGTTTGCATGTATGTATATAAAAAAAATATTTATTGGACCAAAAAGTAGTGGGTAGGCACTGTGGCCAATGGTAATCAACTATTACCACCTCCGCATGGTTGTAAGCCATGCAGAGTCCGCAGAATGCTCCGGAAGCAGTGTCCGGAGGATGCATCCGACTAGGCAGAGCATACTTTGAAGTGCCATCTTATTGAAACTTAAGAAAGTTCAATTACTTGGCAGTTGAGAAGTGCATGTGCAAAAATTTCCTAAATTGCATAAAGGAAATTTTTGCACATGCAGCAGTACATAGCATGTATTTAGGCGCCTGGTGTTAGCAGACGCGCCTAAACACCTATGAAAAATGCAGTTAAAAAGAAGTCAGTATATTATTAGTATAACTAAAAAACCTTTCACCGATTCTAAAAGTTCGACGAAAGCGATTTTCTTAGTATAAATATTTATTTAAATCCTTCTCCTTAAAACACAAAATAAATTCTATCAGACTAATAACTGCTACATTACTTACAGGTACGCAAAAAGGAGTTCGGTTTCTTATATATACGGCGACTATTATTAAATTAACCCTTTGAAGACCGAATCAAAAGTGTTCCCACTTACAGGTTTTATGTTACGACTTCCTGTAAGTTCTGATTAAATCCTGTAAACCGGACCGCTATTGGACTAATAGCCCGAACACAATGAAAACGACGAGCTACAAACCACAGCTGTCAAATTATTTTAACACGTACTCTTATGTAGATAATTATTTTGGCGACGACCGGGCTACGCGACGGTTGTGGTTGTGGCCAGATTAGATCTATTTCTATTTTTCTGGCGACAGATAAGGTTCTTCCTCTTCTTTTATGTCAAACTCATACAAATTCATGATGTCGCTGCCGCGTTCAAAGAAATCATGTCGCCATCAACAAAGCGCTTAGATAATAAAGATGACAAATTGGAAGCTGTGGTCGGTAGCTCGTCGTTTTCAATGTGTTCAGAACTTAAGTATAAAGCAATTTTTTCTTAGTAAACATTTTTTTGAAAGCCTAAAAAACTTAAGAAATAATAGGACAATTCATGAAAACGCATGTAAACCTCGTAAACTTACATAATTTTGTATGTAAAATCGGTTTATTTACGAGGTTTACACGGTTACGAGGCATTTACAAGTTTCCCTGAATACCCATGATAATTTTCGCAAAAAAATGGTATTTTGTACCGCGATTGTAATTTTTTTTTTTAAATATTAAGGACTCCTATAAATACTACTTATTTTTAGAGGTTCCGGTCCGAATCTCATTATGAATATTTGAAGTAAAGAAAAGCTAGAAATTAGTTTTGGTCAGAAAAACAGGCATTTTGACCATGGTGCATTCCCTGTAGTCGAGCTAAATTTTATTTTTCTATGGTCGAGAGATGAAAGGCGGCAAATTGGTCGAAATCAATTTGGATTTGTGAAAAACATGCATGAATAATCTTTGACGAAAAGACACCATCAATTTAGTGACTAGCTGACAACCATGGTATCTTAAAAATAATAAAAATGGGTAGTATGTATAACAAGTCGTATTAAATCGCGACGGACTCGGCATACATGGAAAATACTCTTTACTTTACACTCGTTTGAATGTACATATGTATGTATGTATGTATGTACAAATGTGGATTTGTTGTTGCATTTACCGCGATTTTTTCTCAACATAGATATATATGTATGAACAATAAATACAATTAGAGAAAACGTTTTTGTTGTTGTTGTTGCTATTCTTACTACTCTTTGTTTTGTTGCTAACGAGCGAAAGCGTTGCAAACAAAAGTGAAGTAAAATATAACAAATATAATACGAAGGTTAAGCACAGCGCCAATAACAGCGGAGAAAAGTGTGCGCGCATGCGAACACACGAAATTCGGCGATTGCAAACACAAGCAAACAATAAGCAGAAAGTGCAGTGAAAATGGTGCGCGTCTCAGCTACTAATCGCCAACATGCCAGCGATGCACATGCAACGGCTCTCAGCAACATAACCACTGAAACCCACTATCACAGTCGCCAACGACAGCAATCGACTAATGCGGCTGCAACAACATTGCCGATGGTGCAACAGATACTTTTGTTGGCTATATTGCTGTTGCTGAGACTTGGCCAGAGCGAAAACGTAGTAGGTAAGTGAATCCGAGTCAAGTAATCAATTTGTTATATGTATGTATATCTAGTAGGGATATTAATTTTTTTTGCTTTTTACGATCCCGGGATTTTCGTGATGTCGTTATCACAATCCCGAGATCCCGGTATTTAGATACTCATTACTTTTCAACAACTTCAATCGAATAAATTGATTCTAAATTGTTTGACAAGCTCTCCTACCATAAAATAAATAATACGTAAATGGGTTTGAAACCTACTTTTTATTTAAAGTGGCATTTTTATTTTTTCTATCTGACGTCAGGATTTATTTTAAAGGACTTTGTAATTTTAAAGATATGATTAATTCCAAAAATAATTTAAAAAATTCATTGCATTGAGGATACCAAATAAAAGGAAGGATACCAAATAAAAGGAAGAAAAGAAGGAAGGAAATTTATTTAGAATTAAAAAAAAATAGAATTTTTTAGATTCACAAGGACGAATAGGTAATTTTTTAAGCTGATAAAGTTAGAAAGACGAAATTCGAAGACGTTATCGAATTTATATAAGTCCTTAACATATCGTCTTTTAAAGTAAAAAACCGCATATCAACAAAATGCAAAATTTCAAAAGGACATTTTCAATACTCACCATATACACAAAAAAAATGAATTTGATTAAATTCTATAGAATTTCGTGTTTAACTTGATACCCATACTTCTTCTCTAAGCACATTTCACTGAATTTTTTAAATCATTTTGGAATTACTTACGTCAGGGTGGAAAACTAAAAACGCAATTTACAATATTTGGCCCATGGTTTCGCGAATATATTGATTTTTGTGTGTAAAATTTACTATCGCACGGTGTCATATGTAATATTAATTATTAAATAAAAAAATAAATATAGCCAATACTGGTGAAGAAAAGGAGTTTCTATTATTACCATCAGTACCAATTGCAAATCCCGAAAATCCCGGGATTATTTGCCCAGAATCCCGGGATTATCGGCACTTTAAAAAGGCCGCGATCCCGGTTTTTCTTTTCGCTTTCCTTCGTATACTTTTGCTGCCAATGTTGAAGTCAGTGCAGGTTACCGTTACTTCAGCAATAGTATAATTAATTTTATTAGCAGTGAATTTTACTTACTAGAATGCTTATTGCCCGAGAAAATTCAAATGATGTTGTCCAAGGTGGCAAGAAAAGTGCTTTCAGAAAGAAGCCTATTAGACTGAAGAGTTTTGAGAGTAAATGCAGGAAAGTTAAACCCACATATGCATCTAAAGTGGTCTTGGGAAATTAACTGTTTGTTTCCATACAACGACAGCCTTTCGCAACGACAGCAATTCTTTTTGTCATAAAAAGCAACCGTGGGATCAGAATTTATTCATATTTCTCATATTTCTCAATCAATTTTTATAGCGTGGATATGTGGGAATTAATAGCAAAACAAATAATTTCGTGTGGCCGTTAAGTAATTACTAAATTTTTAAAAGCTATACCTCTTATTAATCGGCTAACATTTTTATGTTGTCAAATAGCAAAATGTTCCGGTCAATTTTGAACTCTTACTATGAAAGTGTTTTAAGAATGCAAAAATTGTTCTCGGGAACCCGTAAAAACTACTACATCGGGTTTTTATCATAACTCTTTTATATCAAATTTGATTTCTAACAAGAGTAACATATGGGTCATTTATACCAAATTTGCACCTCAATGTTTTTTGTTGTGAAATATCTTTTTTTTTATTCTTTATCGAAAAACGAAGACACCTATTTTATCACAATATTCGAAAATCTCAAAAAATCCGAAATTTTTAGATCACATAGAAGATGTTTTTCATGGCAGAAATCTACTATACTTTGGTAAAAACTCGTATTTCAGAAATCGCTACTACTTCGTATTTCATAAAATTAATTCAAAATAGACCTTAAAATACTACAAATTCATTATATATTATTCTTAATTAACTAAAAAGTACTTAATTTCAGAGACCCCGAATAATAATTATTTCATGGTGGAGTTTCATAAAAGTCATTCAAATCTCCGTAAGAATTATAAAGCCTCTTGATAATAATTATGTGTGAGAAAATTCTTTTAAGTCATCGATAATTATTATTTTATGACTTATATAATAGAAGTTTTTCCATTATAAGTATCAGCGAGATAAATATTTTTAAGTCTTCAAAGACTTTTATTTTGAGACTTATATTATAAAAGTCTTTTCATAATAATTATCATTGAGATAAATATTATTAAGTCTTCAAAGATTTTTTATTTTGATTATTTATGTTATAAAAGTCTTTTGATAATAATTATGAGTGCGAAAAAATTTCGTATATAGTCCCGAACGGGCCCCAAACCAAACCCCAACGGGTCCCCAACTAGTCCCGAACTGTTCCTCACCTAGCCACGAACTGGGCCCCAACTAATCCAGAAATGCTCCTGAAGAAGTCCCGTCTTTTCAGACTTAAATAATATTTTCGCGCTCATAATTATTATCAAAAGACTTTTGTAATATAAGTCTTAAAATAAAAGTCTTTGGAGACTTAAAAATATTTATCTCTCTGATAATTATTATGAAAGGACTTTTATAATATAAGCCCTTGAATAATAATTATAGATGACACGAAACATATTTATCTTAATATAATGATCATTGATTGACTTTTATTATTTTCTCTTATAAAAGTTATATCTCTGCTTAATTTTTAATATTCAGTATAAAAGTTATCAAAAATGATTTTCTGTTATTAATAGCGGTTTTTTGATAGAGACTGTTGGTTGAGAGTATTTTGAGATGTGAGGTTTTGCCAAAGTACCGTCGAAATACACTCGGCGGGTTGTCAACACATCTTTTTCAGACATTGAGGCAACCTAATACAAAATCTTGGCAACCTCACATACGAGGTTTGGCATTTTCTTGATACGCGGTTTTGTACTTTAAACGACGATAAACATATGAGGTGTGCATATAATGAATTTCTCTTTTATTAAATTTTTAATGTTAAGAAAAAAGAAAGTTCATACTCAAGTATGCATTTAATTTAGTTTTAAAGTTGTAAAAATATGTTTGCATTTTAATTTCTGGAATATCGTAAAAAATTTGCAGTTTCGAAATTACGACACACCTGAAAGTAAAAGTATAATAACTACACTTATCTCAGACTAGATATCAGCATAAGGGAAATTTCACTATCAATGCTGCGATCATTGAACTGACATGACTGGATTACAATAAACGGGCATACATATGTACATACATACATATGTTTGTTGCTTGTAACTTACCAATTCCATGTGTGGGGAGCATAGCTGAGTTTTTAATTACATAGGTATATATGTATGTATGTATGTATATTACATACATACTTACATGCTGCTATGTATCATGCTAAGATTGAGAAGTAATCCCATTTCGCATCGCAGAGTTTTATGACCAATAGGTGCATACTAGGCATGTCAGAAAAATATCGATGCCTCGAAAATATAGATGTTTGGTTTCTATGCATCGAAAATGTTTAGATATTTAAGTTCTTTATTATCTTTAACTTAAAAAATCAAAAACATAACTTTGACTTCAAACTAAAACGAAAAAGTAAAGAACTTACCTCCGCCAAAAATGTTGGGTTAGTGATGCTATGGGGTCAGTACAGAAGAGGGTGGCGATTAGGGTGTTCGATTATTCGCCTAGTTTCCAAAACCGGTTTTCGAGTTATTCGAAAAATTGCAGCTCGGGTTTGAGTAGTGCTCTTGCGTCGTAGCCGAGTGCTTAGAGGTGCCTCCTGCTCCTGGTCCAACAACAACAAAAAATGTTTTTTTTTTTTTCAAATAGCGGTCGCCCCTCTGCAGACAATGGCAAACTTCCGAATGTACCTCTGCTATAAAAAAAACTTCTTCGTAGGCGTACGTCTCTCCTTTTGCGTCACAACATCAAGAAGCAGAATACGAATTGGAGGAAAAACTCCGCCAAACCCTTAGAAAACATTTAACCGCCAAATATTATTTTATTGAAATCAAATATGATATACAGTTCATACCTCAATAACTTAGGATATATGCAGTTGTAAGCCTATTTAGGGGTTTCCCTTAAAATGGAAAAAGCGTTGAAAGCTTCGAAAACCTCAAAACTTTTATTGAGAGGTCAAGATTTGTATGAAATGAAATAAAAAACCAGTATATTCAATATTCAAAAAATTAATATTTCAAAAAAACCGCCTATAGATATCCAAAAAAAACCCGAATCAACCCCCTACATACATGTGTACGCGCCGATGTCCTGGCCGCGACTTAATTGCGTACCCCGTGAGGAGATAGGAAGCTAGGAAGAGTGGAAGCGCACTCCAAGCATTCCAAGACATGTTTTTTTGTTTTTTGAAATGGCCGTGACCCCATGCGGCTTATTAAGGGTTAAGTATATGTGTGCGATTAGACGTGGCGATGCAATCGCTTTTCTACCCATTTTATTGTCAAACCACCAAAATGGAAGTCCGATTTCCCGTGTAACCACTCAAAAAACAGTGCATAAAAAATTCACTTTTTGCAACATTTTCATGCATTGAAAATATTCACATATTCACATACATATGTATACTACCTTCCTGCAAAAACTCAGAAGTAATTTTGTAGTAATTTATCCAAAAATAAAACTATCAGTTAAGTTTCCCTGGTCCATACGGTTATTAACATGTAAGGGAGATCGATAGGTTATGAGACGGGTTTTTTGGGAACAAAAGTATAGTGAAAAAACGTTGTTCCCTTAAAATTCATTTTTCTTACTCGAATTCAAGCTGTACAAATATAGGTACATAGATATGTATTTCAGGAGTTACAAAATAAATTTTAAAGTTGAGTAACAAATACATATATAGTATATGTATCTTAAATTTTTTTTTGCGACTATTGTTTGTTTTTCACTCCTACCTCAAAATTTTGTGGAAAACACCTAAAAAAGAGCTCCCTGAAAATTTGAACCCTTAATATTAAGATTAAGTACTCGCCCAAGGCGTGCATAGATTTCACATATAAAATACACGTAA